TCATAAAACACAACGTGTAATGCACGTGAGCCATTGCAAACGAGCAATGCTATAAACCAGACCTTCCAAGGTATCTAACCATCGGTGACTTCCGTCTCGCAGACAATAACCAGTTAGTCTACATTTACCAACATGACTCAATTCACTTGTCAGTGACTTCATGGATTTCTGCCTTGATTTGATTTGGCAAACTGATTTTCATACTTTACCAAGGGCTAATTTAACATAAAACCAATTCTTTAAACCATCATAGACTGGTGTACTAATCCATGTTGATAAGTGTTTGTCCAATAACCTCAACTAGTGGCTATAGGAAAAGGTTCAGCATTCATTATAACAGCATAGAAGTATTCCCTTCTTATCTAAACTATAAACAAATAAATTCTCTAATCACATAATCAACGTTGTACTAGTATGGAATCAATGTTAACTTGTTTGTATGTACACATCTGTGCTAAAACTAATAGAATCCAGAGGAAAGAACCTGACCTTAGCTGTTACCTTGAGGTAATGGCCGGGCTTGCCTATCGTGATAACCCAACTGAGCTATATTGGCTAGAACAAATGTTCAATTGGGCCCTACCATTACAGACATGCCGATTTGCAGAACGGTAAAACTAAAAGTAGCAACTCAAGATCTCATGGAGGAATCGTATTATACACAATAGAGGGGTGTGACAGCGGTCAGGTGTTTCCCTCGGAAAACCAGTATCTGCAGCGATGCTCCCTTCTCACAACGGAAGGAATGGGTTAGAAAAGGACGACTCTACAAATGTCACACCATACCCTACCCAAGAGATTTCCGCCTCCGAACGTAAGGCGTGTGAAGTGCGGAGCTAACGCTTTAAACCTTCCTCTACAAAGGCCATGGGCTCAGCGGTCACGCTGCCTGGTCGCTAAGACGAACGCTAACCGAACTTCTTCGTTTCCAGGCTCCTCAAGCACAAATACCTTTCCACGGTGAAGGTAACTAGGAAGTGACATCCCGCACCATACCCTTAACAGCACATGAGAGAAATGAGTTCAAACCAACATGAAACCCTCTACTCTATAGTTTTCTGTCAATCACCGTCAACTAGCACACACACACATATGAGCACAAACTACTCAGTTCCCCAAGTGTATATATAAAACATGCAATCAATCATTGTGTTTCAAGCAAACCAATAAAATAAAACTTACTTCAACACAAGAAAATGTTAAACATTGTAAACGTCTTAAAAATAACATTAAATTCGGATGAAATGTTGTTTGAATAAGTCGTATAATATACACAATAGACGATTGTATTGCAGTCATCAATGATGTATAATGAATGAATAGTTTTGAATTTAATGGTAAAATAAACAATGTTTTACACCATGACGGTAATGACTGTGCAGAATTCAATGTTCGCATTGTAGTAGTAGAACACCATTCTGGTATAAGTATTAATGATGATGAAGATGTATCAGTAGGGCTATTGGTCGACGTTGGTGATGATTGTCGATGAAAACGAACATGAAAACCATTTGAATGAATTTCTGGTGTATTTGTTACATTGAACACTGATTTGAAACCGATACCTTTACGTCCTATTTGAATAAAGTAAATTTGAGAAAAAAAGAATGAAACAGTCCTTCTATTTTACAAATATTATTTGAATGTTATAAACAAATGATGAGATTATTTAGTTACTTCCTTACGCCTGTCTCTATGGAAGTTTGATTTACTGCAGTTTGTAAAAATTTAGCGACCACGATGCACTAAACATGCAAACTTTTTACAATTTTATTGAATAATAATTTTACGTTAGAACTGTATGGTTGCTATTAGAATTAATTGAAGAACATATCTGAAGACGAAACTTGGAGAACTACAAGAAATAGTATTCAAAAGATACAGGTGTTTAATAACAGAATTTTTAGAAGCTTGGCAATCAGGTCAATCAACAATCAACAAACACATCGACATTGTCCCAATTTATCGATAAATCAGGAAAATCATAGGTGACATAGGATCAAGAAACAGATCAAAAGGGGGATAAAATCAAAACAAATGTGCAAACAACCACAGGTTTAAGGTCTACAACAACCAATCAAGATCGGGGTTTGCAGAACATGCTACAGATCAAACGTGGAGAAATTCGAATGCTTCACTTCTATCTAAACTTTGTGCTGATGATGTTGTTCAGAAGAACAATGAAAGCTCCACAACCAAAACATCCAGCTCAGAGAACCAAACACCACCACGAAGAAACTAGGAAAAAGCGTTCGGTAAGGCGCGTGTACTAACAGGCTGAGTACACATGGCTCGCCCCAGTTTTTGGACAAATTAATGCATTCACTCTACTCCAGTTATCATTTACACAAGTTTTGACTTTGTCAAAATTAGTCACTTATAACCTTGGTTGTTTTTACGTGAACGCTTATCACATGTCTAGCTTATATTTGTCTGACTATAAATACTTAGTTATGCCTTATTACATGGAGTTGACCCACTTGCCTTCTCTTCTTCACATTGGTTCGCTTCGCTTTTAAGCTTCCCATTTCTTACGACTGTTTGCTTTTCGAATTCATCGCAAATAAGCAGTCTTCCTGTTACCGCCGTTGCAATATATGGAAGATAAACATTTATTTCATAGAATATTTAATTGGTCCTACAAATCGGAGTCGAATTCCAGGACAAAAAAAACGGAACGCTAGGCAAGCTAGGACTTGGAACCCTCAAAAAGCCAAAAGAGATAGACCAAGAAACACACTACGCTAGGTACTGGAGACTCAAGTGAAAAGAATGAATAGCACGTGCGAAGAAATGGAACGGAGAAAGTATGATAGAATTAGTTGGAAATTGTTGGTCGATGGTCGATGCTCCAAGACAGGTAACAGGCGTAAGTGCCAAAAGCATAGATCTCCCTCTTAGAGAAATATTTTAATTCCATAAACAAACACAATACAAGATGTAAAAACCAATTGTCAATCAAAACTAACCAATTTTTGCATCACGTTGTAACACTTTAGTACTTTGACCAATATCACATAATGCAGACATATCGGATTCAGTGAATCCAATTGATTCATTATTCATAACCAATAAAGCAAATGTTTGTCTCTCATCAGCCTCAGCATCATCATCACTCACTGTAGAAAGCTGACACAATTGTAATTGTAATGTCGGTACATCGCTGACATGATATTGATTATCATCAGCATTTTGAATTAATTCTAATAGGAAATGTCCAGGTAAACTATACAATTCTTCGGATAATTGTACAAGACTACGTGATAATTTACCTTCAACTCTCTGTTGAATTAAAAAATGATAGAGAGAGAGAAATTAATATTTTCATTTATTCATAAAAATTAATTTTTAATTCAATCAAGAGAATAATTTATTGATCCGACCTTTTTTAAGAGAGACAAGGTGCTTAAAAAACATAGTACAAATCCATGAAGTCACTAACACGTGGACTGACAGAAGTTCGTGAGTGCAAATTATTTGATTGGGTTACAGGAGCGTTCCACATGTGTAAGAAAATCATCGTCTTCATCCATAACTAGCTTCAAACATCGATAGCGTGTATTAAATAATGACGAGTTGTCGCTAAAATGTTGGCTTAATGTCTGGACAGTATCTGAAAATGAGCAATCTCGTGGTTACAAAGGCAGGACCAAATGACAGTACTTGTTCAGCGCACTTGCAACCAATTTTCGAAGTAGCAGTCGAACCTTCCAAGCATCAACTTGATTGACAAAATCAAATTTAAATAAATCTTCATAAAGCCTGAACCACATATCAAAAGTAACCTTTTCATCAGGGTCATAATGGAATTCAGCAATGCTATTTGCGATGCCGTCGACTAATGGATCTGAGGTTGCATTACATGAGCTGAATTGTGTGGAAGGGGGAAACCTTTATATCTATTAACATCTACATTAGTTTCAGCTGCTACTCAAGTAGTAATTCAAGTTTGACAGGATCCATGTTTCCAAAACCACCGTTGCCAATTGTTATGCTCGTCAAGTGATATGCTTGAAACTATTACGAGTTCACCTTAGTCGATAAACGAGAACGAGACAATGAGCCAGTGACACGATAGGCTACTCTAATCCGCTGCACGTCAAACTGAAGCAGAAATCTTGATATGGCGTAGAAAGTGTATTCTACAAACATCCAGAAAGCATAATGATAATCTCAAGAACACAAATCGAGTTTATTTACACACCAAAGAAACGTCCTTGGAAGACTCACAAAAATAGCGTACTAAAATAACCCATCAACCAATCATGGTCAAGGATTTTCCTGATGAGAAATGAAATCTCAAGGCCGAATGATCAGCCCATGAATAAAATCCAAAATTAAGACTTTATCAAGCGAGTTCTGGGGATCTAACCTCCCCAACAGATACTAACCGATGGTTAGAAACCTTGAATGTCATTGCTCAAAATAGTCTGCAATGGCACAGTTGCATCCGTTCTTTATGTTCTCCCAAGTTCTAACCTAAACTTCTTATGACCTTATGATCTTTCTTGTCTCAAATCTATTTCCCTTGATTATACTTCTATAATCATATCTTCGAACCCTAATCTTTCCTATTACTGCTTATACTTAACTTATACTACCTCTACTACTATGGAATTCAAATTGATAAGTTGATCTTTGTGAGCAAATGTAGTGTGGAAACTTGTACTACTATACGTACGTACATACCTACGACGTTCTACATTGTAACTAACTTGACTTGACTTAGTCAACACATCAAAAATCATTGTACATTAGTGTATCTGAATTACAATTTTACCTGAACTAAATCAGCTGCTTCTTTACTTAATTCCACACCAACACCAAATTCTCGACGTCTAATCTCTTCAATAAATTGATAACGATCTGATGAAGTATTGTTTAAATCAGCTGTTGTTGTTGTAATTCCTGCTGCTGCTGTTGTAATATGTTTGTTTGATTCGTCAGCATTATTGACACTTGAATTGATATCATTACTTAGAATGGTTAGATAAGTTGAATTCTTATCCTACAGTAGTGGTAAGAGAAAAACAAGAGTTGAATTTTTTAAAGGTATATTCATTTATCCCATAATAAAAAACACTTGAATAAATACAATACAATGACTGATTGATGATTTTAGTGTGTAAAACCAATGATCTTCGGCACTCTAATTGAAAAATTATATAATCTGCTTACATCGTGACTAGCTTCGTGAGGCGATGTGACCAGTGGACTTCAACCCTGTCGACTATGGGCAGTAACTACCAAAGATAAATGGGTGAGGTTGAAAAATCCGTAGACTGATCAGAGTTAGACATGAACACCATTGAATGATAACCCAGTGTTCCAGAGGTTAGACTTTCGCGCTGGACCGAAGGTCCTGGGTTCGAATCCTGCGGGTAGCAGAAGTCATGGATACGGACTGCTACTGATGGGTCCTATACCAGGACAAGAAGGCCGTATTTCAGCGCTTCGGGGTTTCTAATGGTGATCTAACAATGAGTGATTTATGATTTTAATGAGTAAAAACAATAGTCTCAATAACACTAATTGAAAAATGAATATATTATTTAGCCATTCTGTCATGATTTGCAAAGTCCGTCATCTGAAAGTATGTACGAACTAACCCCGCAAGCTAACTGCTTAGACTAGCAAGATAAGAGCAGAAGAGAAATTCTATTTGCCTACCTAATAACATATCTTCCACCTCTACTATCCCACCACCTGCCCCAAGAAATTGAATCCACTTCCGAACCAATGATACGCATTCATCCTTTAGGACATTTCGAATGGCTATCAAAATGGCTTTTGCATTTGAGCACTCCTAATTAGCACACTATATTACATTCAACTGTCATTAATAACTTCATCGACAAAACTTTATTGATTTCGTTCCAACGTAGCTGGACTAATATAGCTTTAAGTCACTGTACCTTTTATTTGAGAAATAGTTAGTTGGTGACTAAAGAAAATATACGCATTAGATTAATTCCAGGTTGTTTGTACAAAATCAACACAATACACAGTATTACCACTTCCTTTATCACAAAATGTCTGGTGTCAATTAAGTTTGGTGTCTAACATATATATATATAAAGGCTCGACGTTTAGAAAGAACGACCGAAAATCAGCTATTTTTACTACTAACCTAATGTCGAACCTACTGAGTTATTAACGTTGTATAGGTAAGATTTATTTGAAATCAATTTTAAACAATACCGACACCCAACATTTGCAATCATTAATCACAACTATGATGTATATTTTAACCAGATAATCCATGTGAAGATACCAAAACACGACTTAGATCAGACGTAAATGACCTCATGTACTAGTGTGGTGCGCGCTACTTATAAGTAGTATATGACGTGAGTGTAAACGTAATGTCTAGCAGCAGAAGATGGGGGAAGATCAAGAAAGAAAGAGTGGGAACACAATGGAATTTGTATGAAACGCATGAATATTGAAATGTCAGACAATGGATTGATGATGGATTGAAGATTTGCAAATTAACGGTTACGATATGGTTTTCCTATTTTACTGAGTAACTCTGTAATTTTCGTTAAATACAATTCGGTTGCCCTCACCAGTGTTCTCCTTCACTACAGTAGTACTATTGTACCATGATTTATTCGGTAGCACCTCTAGAATGTAAGTCGGAGGTAGGCTGTAGTGGTTATTTTTGCTATTTTTAGCTGAATGGTTTATTCTTGAAGCTCTGAATTTCCAGAATCACTACGGTAAAAAACTATTCCGTGAAATGTGAGGTCTGCATTTTTTTCCCACAAGTAGTTTGGAGAGACATTGTTTTTACTAGTTAATAAACTTTCAATCCCTATAAATGATATTCCTAATATCCCAATCCTTATATAGTCACTTTCTCGATAGTATTGTCCGGGAAATACAGTAAACGCTTTCAGAGTAAATCATTGAAGTAAATAAGAGAACGTATACACAACATAAGACTTTAAACTTTGAATTACCAATATCTCTCCACTGATAATAAGCATTTTACACTAGTTGATCAATGATTAGTCAGTTGCCAATGTGTCATATTTGTTTATTTCATGTACTGCTGCTGGTCGAAATCTATCGAATAACCAGCAACCACACTACAACTACTCAGTTGTCCAGGATAGATGCGGCTCAAATAATTGAACGATAACATATACTATGAAACTGAACAACCACAGTTCGAATTCACTAAGAAGCACTAATTTTTTACAAGAGTGTAAAAATCCTTCCCCATGTGGACAAGTACTGTTTATTAACAGCGATACAGCGATTTGTGTTGTATACATCCAGTCACTGTACAACCAAATAACGATTACTTAATTACGCCTGTTACCCCTCAACAGAGCATAGGCCACCGACCAGTATTCTCTACCTGGAGCCCCTCTGGAGCTACTGCCAGTCCGAAGCCCGAATAAATTAGGATGGTTGGGTGTGGGATTAGCGACCTCAGAAAACTAACTTGCTGACAAAAAAACGGTAACCCAAAAAAAAACAGAACAGATTTCAACTTACTTCACTACTCTCCATTAGTTGTGTACAACTTAAAGCTAGATTATCATCACCATTCTCATCATTAGTCACATGATCAGATATACTTGTAGGCAAAACATCATTATTCATTATTGATAATTGACATGGCATATCATTTGTTTTGCGTTGTTGGTGATCCTGATTCACCGGAATCACATGACCAAGTGTATTACTCAACTGAAAACGATTCTCTTCAAAATATTTTATATAAGCTGGCCATTTCAATTGATAACCAATATGACCAATCACAGTGATTAGATAAATATCATTTAATTGAGAATGATGTTCATGTTGAATACATGTGTTTAAAGGAAGGAGATGATTGGAGAAGATGGATAAAAGGCTGTACGTGATGGGTGAATCATTGTTATCATTATTATTTTGATGATGATTAGGAAGTGAAATATCTGATTTATCTAACGGCCATGATGTAGACTGACGTATTCCTGCTGATTCTAAACTTGGAATAATAATCTAAATTTTTTTTTTCAATAAAAAAAACGGACAAAAAATTATTCCAGAAAATTTTTTTTTGAAACCATGAATCGATCAATGTTAGACCATCATTAGAAACCATTAGAAGCATAACCCCGTAATACAAATTACCTGTGCTCACTAGTGACTAGCTTCGTGAGGAATCTTCTCCGAGTTCTAGTTGAGAAGACGTGACCAGTGAAGTTCAACTTGTTCGAGTGTAGACAGTAACTACCAAAGACTGTGTATGAGGTTGCGCAACTCTGTGAATTTGATCAAGTTAGACATTAACACCGTTAGATACCGGCTCAGTGGTCCGATGGTTAGGCGTTCGCTTACAATACCGAAGGTACTGGGTTCGGATCCTGCGGGGTGCAGGAGTCGTGGATGCGCACTGTTGAGGAGTCCCATACCAGGACGAAACGGCCGTCTTGCAGTGCTTCCGGGTTTCTAATGGTGGTCTAACATTGATCGATTCATGGTTTCGAAAATGTGTAACTTAACAATCTTCACAACCCCGTAATGCAAATATTCCAGAAAAAAGTTTTTTTTAGAAAAATATTTAATATTGGATTAAATATGGTTGTACATGTGCCATTCAATGAGATCCGATGATGTAGTTTTTTTATTCAATGAATTGAATGCTTCAATTGTCAGGCGCTTATTTTTTTAGTTGAGTTCAATCGTTCAATGGTGCGTGGCTGTTAATAATGTGGAATCTAGTGATAGAGATAATGTACTAGTTTAAAATGGCAAACTTTATGATCTAAAAAACAATACATGATACAACCCCATGTTTTGACCTCATCGATTACTTTATTAGGCTTTTCATCAGTCAATTCTTAGAAGAGAACAGAGCATAAAAAAAGCACAGGCGCTAGAAATACCCAATAAATGATTGCCTCGACGAGCGATGCTTTGTGATGTAGTAGTAGGTTGGAAGAAAGATAGGAGCGGCCAAACCAAAACATGGCACCAGTTCATGAAGTCATTAACAGCTGTAGACTAACTGCTTGGGGTTGGTGAGACAATAGTAACCGATAGTTCAAGACTGAATGACATGGCCCAAAATTGTTAGTAACGGCGCAGATGCATCCATTCCTTATTTCCCAATCTTCTGAATTCCTCACCACCTTGATCCATTTTCAAATTTATCTTAGTAGATTATACTTCTCGAACCATATCTTCGATCTTTAGTCTTTTCTATTACCATCAATACTTCTTTACTACCCCTACTCATATGCGATGTGGCCTAACAATTCCAATCGATTTGCTTGCAGCTATTACGATTTCAGTTTACTCGCTAAACGGAACAAAGATCAGTGATTCGGCGTAACAATAGGCCACTTATAGGTTGATCGTCCCAGACCCCACTAACTGCAGGAAGAAGTCTTGATAAGACACAGAGAATGGATACCATAGGCAACTAGAAAGTACGAGGCCCATAAGCACACAACTCAAGCTTATTTACACAAAGATAAAACGCCCTTGGTGAGAGCCACAGAACAGCGTACTAAAATAATTCACCAACCAATGACAATCAAGGATTTTTCGAATGGAAAATGTGAGTTGAAAGTCAAATAAGCGTATTTGGCGTGAAAACACAAAATTAGGACCTCTTCCAAGTGAGTTCTAAGGATCTAACGTAGCCAACAATCTATCTGAGTTAATGTGATATGGCAACTTGAACTGATGTATGTATGTAACAAAAGTTCCACATATTAGTCAAAGGATTTTAACACTTATTATCAACCGAATAATTTGTCATCATCTCTACACTAAACTACATAAAACCTGTCATAATTCAAATAGTCAAACACACAATTAACCATAAAAACCTAATGTGACAATGCACCGACTACATTGTTCATACTTTCCATTAACATCATTTACAAAATATGTCACTTCTATCTAATTCTAATCTTCTGAATTCCTTATCACTTTTATCTTTCTCACTTTTTAAGTTTATTTCACTGGATTTACCGCTAATACTTCTACTATCGCTACCACTAAGCGATTCGAACTGAAGACTACATCTCTGTGGGCTAATGTGGTATGACAACTTGAACTGATTGTACGTATATACGTGCATACGAACAAAGTCCAACGCGGTAGATGACTGATTGACTGACACTAAACACAAGCACGCACACACACACACACACACAAATAAACACACATTCTGCAAACTTACCAAAGAGAATACTAAACCCAATAAACTAAGCGGTAACTTCATCAATAAGCTATACACAAAATAAATCCATTCATTTGGATCTGAAAATGAAAAATAAAAAGAGGCGAAATAAAACACACAAATAAATAAACCAGAGAATTAGCTCCATCGGGAAAATAAAATCGAAACAAAACCAATTACGCGTAATCTGAGATGGAAATGTGACAAAAACTGTAAATGGTGTAATAGCCTAACATTGCATTGATACTTAGTACAACTTTTAACTGACTAACATCATTAACAAGTAGCCGGCAACAACAACAAAACAACGTAGCAATTATTCGGTTCACCAAAGTATTCACAAGTAAAATATTTGAATTTGATTGATATGTCTAAAACGAGACGGTGTTACGGGTGTGCTGTCACAAGTGTAAGGGCGGTTGTCACTTCCCGGCTGCCCACACAGTGGAAGGTTGTTTCTTGAGGAACCTAAAAAAGAGAGGTATATTGGCGTTGGTCTTAACGACCCATAAGCGTGACCGCAGAGTCCAAGGGACAACTGCTTGAGGCCGGTCACGCACGGCCTTTTCATGAAGGGTTTTTTGAGTATTAGCTCCAGTCTTAAAGGCCCTTAGTGGACACCCTTACGGCCGGAGATGGAAATCCGTGAGGTAGGGTGAGGTGTGGCATTTTTAGGGTCGACCTTTTCTAACCCTTCCTTCATTGTGAGAAGGTAGCATCGCTGCAGATGCTGGTTGTCCGAGGGAAACACCTTACTGCTGTCACACGCCTCTGCAGTCAGCAGTACGACTTCGCCCTCAGACCTTGAGTAGCTGCTCTTAGTTTCATTGTTCTCCAATCGACCTGCCTGACATGGTAGAACCTTCAGGAACATATGTTCGGGCCAGTATAGCTCAAAAAGTTATGTAACTTTTTCATAACTTCTATAATTATCACACGATCTATCTTGTCTGTTTCCGGACTTCATTTACTTACTGTCTCATTCCCTTTTTAATTGAACTCTAGTTTTTTCAATGACCCCGATCGTTGTCACGCACATATGTATAATTATTACCATTAATCTTAGCTAATTTAATTCCTTTTTGTTATCCACGTCAATTACTTTGCATTATATCATAACCTCACTGCTGCAAGCAGCTAAAATGAGAAACCGCAACACTCAAACGAATTCACATAATTCTGCCTTATTTTAATCCTGTAGTAATTCAAGAACCAATTACATGCATACAACAACATCATAATCATATACCTGTAACATTTGTAAAATAATTTGTAATCATTGCACATGTTTGATCAATTGTCAATTGATTATTTGTTTTAATCACTACACCAATTAGATAATCACTAATAAGACGAATAGTTAACGATGTACGATTACATTGCCATTGATTGAATGCATGCTGTAAATCATTCAATGAAGGATGTGCAGTTAATCGTAATAATTGACTGGGGCTACCATGAACAGCAGCAGTACTGGTATCATCAGAACCAGAATCAAATGGAAGTATACGTAAAGCAACTATATTGAATTGTTCATACACTGAAAAGAACACAGAGAGAAAACAAAACAGGTTGGCAAAATAAAAAACTACTAATTGATAGAATAAGAAAGTATTCAGCAAGTTGTGATATATCACAACATTTGTTTCCATGACAACAAATATTATCCAATCAATAATAGAACTTGATACATACATCAGCTCCAGTTGACATACTATATTAGCACAAAGAGGTCGAATCGTCGATTCGAATCTCGTAGTGATAGAGGTAGTAGCAGAAGTATTAACGGTAATCAAAAAGATTAGGGATAAAAGAGATCATTCAAAAAGTGATGAGGAATTTAGAAGATTAGAATTTTGGAAAACACAAACCAAAATATCGGACAAATCTATGAAGTCACTGACAAGTGGATTAGGTGAAGTTGGTATATGTAGACTATCTGGTTGGGGTTCGCGAGACGAAAGTCATGGATGGTTAGAGACCTTGAAGGACATGGCTCAAAATCGTTCGCGATGGTGCCGGTGCATTTTTTCATCGTGTTCTCTTAAATTCTAACCTTCTGAATCCCTTATCATCTATAGTTTTCTCTTTCTAAATTTACCTCACTGAATTATACTTCCTGAACAATATATTCGAACCCCAATCTTCTCCTTTAACGATAAAATCACTACGGGATCTGAACTGAAAATTGCGTTTCAGTGCTAATGTGGTATAGCAAGCCGAACATATGTACCTACGTACCTACGTAGCGTTAACATAGTATAGTATCTTAATCCAAGTTATATTGTGATTATAACTGATCAGTTAAGTAATACCTTACAAGAGAATATTTTACTGTCCTAAGAAAAAATTAAACATTAGTACAAACAGTTTATAATGGATTATTAACAAGACAATATACAACTGACAAATATATCAAGTAATTCATTAGAATACAGGAGAAAGAAATGTAGTTTACCAATGTTATGATGAAATTTTAATGATAAAAGGTATAAATATCCTAGAGAAATTATTTTGTAAGTCTAATGCTATTGGTTAATTCCTATTGGTGAATATACAAGGTCGTCCATATACTATCAAGATTCAAATGTTGTCCTTCCTATCGGTTAGTATTCAAGGTCGGACCTAAATGTGTAAATATGCATTGTCTTAAAGTTTCTAATGCTCCTCTACTCATCTCTTCCGGGTGCTTGCAGAATAACTTACAAAACTTTTTGATATGTCAGTGGGGGGCTAAGGACGCTGGCTTAGAATAGACTACGTGTCCACTGGATCATTTGTCTTGTGTCTCGCTTACAGACTAAAGAGAACTCGAAATTAGCATTCAAGAATAACACACTGCATAAAAAACCTCACCTGATCACAATTCCACATTCTATAAGGAAATGATTCAAGACTACCCCCAACTGATTAGAGAATAAACAATCTTTTGTTTTTTTTTTTTCTTTTTTGTTTCCTTTTGTTTTTTTTTTTTTTTTTTTTTTTTTGGTGGGTTTACCATGAGACCATAATTCTAAAATCCATCAAAGATGGACAGGCTGATAAAAAACTTAAGGACCACATTTCACGTTGGAGTAAAGTAAACGTGATATAATATCATGAGGATAATGACGATTGTACATTCATAGATTGTTTGAATTTGTTCGATTGGTAAATACTACTTCGGTAATTGAACATGTATGCTGCAAATATTGAAAATAAAAGAAAAAATAATTTTATTTGGGCGGGCACAGGAATAAAAATTTTGGTCTATTACATATACTACTGGAATACTACGATAGTTGATATGATTCAACTTAAAAATAACAAACTCCCACGAAATAGGTACATCAACGCAAATATATCTGTTAGGCAGCCACATGTCCAATCCAAACTGATATCATAATACCCATAATTCACCATCATACTACTTTGTTTGTCGCCGCTTATAGATATGACTCCAATTTGATTGTACCGTATAATGTCATACGAACATATACATGCTTATCTAACTTATGGAGTGGTGCTGGGACTATCATTTATCTTCTAACTTTCTGTATTATCTCCGTCTTGATGGAACTATACACGTGTACAATAACTAGCGATTGTAAATTCTTGTTATGTGAATAATGAACGAAGTTATAAAAAAAAAGTTGAATGCGAGAATGAATTTCGGAGTACGTCTATGTCATACATTCATTGCTCGTGATATCGTGGGACACTACCGAGTGAGTCAACGCTGTTTATAGGAAGCGGGTGACTAGGTAAGAATGGCCAGATCAAATAGATGAAGTCCCCCTGGAACATTCATCATCCCCCCTGTTGAGGTGGTTGGAACATGTGTTACGTATGCCCAACGACCGACTGCCTCGTCGAGTCTTTGTTTGTGTAGTGTGGAGGAATAGGTTGGAAAGAAAGTTAGGGGCGGCCAAACTAAAACATGGCAGAGAATCCATGAAGTCATTGACTAGTGGACTTAGCCATGTCGGTAATTGTTACGACATACCTGCTCTGGTATCCGCGAGATGATAATCCAATCGCTTGGTTAGAGACCCTTTGAATTACAGGGCTCAGAAATCGTTCGCCAATGGCGCGGTGCATTTATTCTTTGTGTTCTCTCAAATCCAATCTTCTGGATTCTTGTCTAACACTCAATTAGTTTGAACTTTGTATAACTTTTTCTCATTGAATCATACTTTTTGCATAATATCTTCTAATACTAACCTGTCTCCGTTTAACTTCTCAATACCCTTACTACCTCTTCTACTAGTGGATTCTGAATTGGACAATTAGTATCCTCTCTTCGGTGCTGATGTGGTATGGCATAGCATGAACTGATGTACTTACGTACGAAGTTCTACGTTGCAACTGACTGACTCGACATTCATTATCATTGACAGATTAATAAGAGAACACTAGGTGGGAGAGGTTTACAGGAGCATGCGAACTGTATGCACTTAATTTGATAAGGGTTGTGACTACTATTATAGACTTATATGCTTCAAATGCTCTCCTACAGCCATGTGTGATATAGCCGCTGAAATACACAGTGACAGGCGGTGTGTGTGACAACATTGAAAGTAATGAAACGAAATATCCACAGTCGAGACTAAAACCTGGTTGGCTAGTACAAAGGATTCCACATAGATACATAGGAAAATATTCACTCCAAACAAATGATTTACGAGCGGGCTCCAGCATCCTAAGTGAACAAATCGCATACAAACCTAATGATGGTCACTGACACAACTGGGTAGTCTGTTCATTTCAATTGTCAATGACTTCACTTATATGTGTGAACACTGGTCACTATTAGCTGATCAGAAACAATTCATCCAGCATAGAAGTAATCACAAAGTAGGGAAATATTATGAAGGTAGCTGAAATCGCCTGACGTTGCTTCAATGACTTGTGGATTTGTAGTGTGTACTAGTATTTCGAACTCCATGGTTGTCTCAGCCTTTAGACAAATCGATCAATTCAATATACCCAAGTTACTATTATTCACACATCTTTCAACCTTGTTAATTATTCAAGAAATCAATGAAAGAAGTATTTCAAAAAAGTTATGAGGAATTCTAAAACTTAAAAATCTGAGGGAATACAAAACGATTTTGTAATTCAAAGCTTCTAACCATAGCTACGAGTATCACGCGGACACAACGGGTAGCCCAGTTCAATTCAACTGTCAATGACTTCACCCATATCTCTGTGAATACTGGTCACTATTAATTGTTCAAATACAATTCATTCAGCATAGAAGTAATCACAAAGTAGGAAATATTATTGAAGTTTTCGAAATGGACGAGTAATTTCTTTTGAAATGATTAAAAATCATTTCCAAAAACTTTACTTTACTTCAGAATATTCACTATTGAATATAACAAGCAGACAAACACATAAATATAAACTTGGCATCAAATTAAATCACCTTAACCAAATAACCACCAAAATAAATGACTAAAATAAGAAATCTTTTTAAAAGAAAAAGCAAAAACTAAACTAACTTACTGATAAACTAAAGGTTTTACTTTAATTATTTCACTATTATTATTACTATCTGTAAGTTGTGACAACATGGATTCGATCAATTGTTCCAACTTGGTCGAGTGAATAATCCGTAAATGATCACAAACAAGTTTACATAATTCCTAAAGACAAAATAAAAGATTGCACCGGGTAAGTGATGATGTGTTACTACTCAATTGAAACGATATACATGTTATTAGGAGAGTAGTAGTGGATGTGTGTGCTGTGGTGCGACTACTTATAAGTAGTATATGACGTGAGTGTCAACGTAATGTTGGATAGCAGAAGAATGGGGGGGAAGATCAAAAGAAGGAAGAGTGGAGAACACAATGGATGTATGAAACGCATGAATAGTGACAATGGATTGATGTATTTGCAACAGGAACAGTCCAGTTCGATATGATGAACTGTATATTTGCAAATTAAGGAGTTACGATATGGTTTTCCAATTTTACTGAGTAAATCTGTAATTTTCGTTTAATACAATTCGGTTTCCCCTACCTGTGTTCTCGTTCACTACAGTATGTATACTGTACTCGACGGACAACATTGATCTACATCGTTATTAGTGATAGTCGTAGTAGTAGGTAATCGGTGATTCGGTATACATTATAGCAGTAGATATTTTTAGAGAGAAAAGAAAACCTTTTGGGGAAATCATGAATCGATCAAAATTAGACCACCATCAGAAACCTGGAAGCACTAGACGGCCGTTTTGTCCTGGTATGGGACTCATCAGTGGTAGTGTGCATCCACGACTCCTGCACCTTGCAGGATTCCATTTCATGATTTCAAATGTGTAACTTAACAAATCTTCACAACCCCGTAATGTGATTAAAAAAAACCACAAAATATGGTTGAGTATTAG